TTTGTTGTTATAATTCCTTCATATCCTTTAAGAGAGTATAAGACAATGCAACTGTTACTGTCTGTTGAGTGTGGGAATTTTGTGAAATGTTTGTGTTTTGGAATTTGGAGTCCTTATTTTTTATTATCATTATATCTCTAACAATTGATCTTAAGATTTTATTTTAAATTGGTGGTGCTGTGCTATTCAGTAAAAAATAAACTGAAAATAAAATCATTGAAAGTTTAACGACAGTTTCGTACAATTACAATGTTGAGGATATTATACCCATTCCACGAGCTAGGTCGTGTGTCTAGGATACTTCGAACTCGTGGCCTTTAGTATGTGTTATAATTAGGTAAATTTAAATTGTGAATTGAATTTAATGATCGAAGTTGCATTGAAATGTAAAGCCAGAGAGTAGGGTTGGGCAGTAGGGTTACAAATGTTGTCACTTTGATAATTGGTATTTATATTGAAGTTATTGCGAAATTGTATGTGAAGTAAATTCAAACCTTTATACGCCCGACATTTCTTATCACTCCAATTTTTTTTTTTGCAGCAATGACTATTTTTCCACGCATCTACATCTAGAATCTCCTAGTCAGCCAGAACTTTAAAATTTGTTGTCAAAATTGGAAAAGGAAGGATTCATTTACCTATGTTCCAATGAAAGGAGAGAACTCTGAGATTTGAAAGGCTTTCATTTTGGATTTTGGATACACAAATTAAATGGAAATACAAAGTATATCCAATAGGGAGGCCAAGATTTTTAAAAATCGTGTAGAGATACATTAAAATATGTTTATTGCTATCATAGAGAAATAATGAAATTAAATACTTGAAATTTTACCACCGCAGGATAAGGTTGGGGAAAAAGAAGTCTATTATGAAAATGTCGATGAAATCGGAAAAATGGTCGAAGTTGACCAGCATGTTAGCAGTCGCAACATCGCCCAGGAGCTAAAATCCACCATAAAACTGTATTAAATCATTTACGCAAATTTGGATTCAATAAGAAGCTCGATGTTTGTGTGCCACACCAATTAACAGAAAAAATAGAATGGATCGAAATACAATATGCGAAGCCTTGGCCAAACGGAATGAGGTACACCCATTTCTTAAACGGATGATGACTGGAGATGAGACTGGAGATGAGAAATGGATCACATACGATAACCCTGTGCGAAAACGATCGTGGTTAAAGAACGGCGAAGCATCTGAAACGATGGCTAATCCAGGACTAACGGCCAGTAAGGTTCTGCTATGCATTTGGTGGGTTTGGACTGGGATCATTTATTATGAGTTGCTCCAATATGCCCCACGCTAAATTCTGATCTCTACTGTCAACAAATGGGCCGTTTGAAGATAGCAATTGACCAGAAACGGCCAGAATTAGCCAACAGGAGAGGTGTCGTGTTCCACCAGGACAACGTTAGGCCACACACATCTACAGTGACCAGAAACTTCGGGAGCTGGTTGGGAAGTTTTAATGCATCCGCCATACAGTCTGGAATTGGCACCAAGCGATTATCATTTTTTCTTGCATTTCTTTAATGATAAAAAATGGTATCTAGGGAGGATTGGGAAAATCGACTACTAGAGTTTTTTGCAAATAGAGAACAGGTCATCTTTGACAGAGGCATTATGAAGTTACTTCTAAAATGGCAACAAACCAAAAAACGGTGCATATTTGGCTCAAATCAGACATTCCGAAGCATGTTAAATAAAATCCTATAGTTCATATAAAAATAATGGATTTATTTTTCCTCATCCCAATATCTAAAACATTAAGGTCGAGGACATAATAATACAAAATTTTGAACAGCGGAGGATACCGAAGACACGAAATTTATCGTGAATTTAAGATCGAAATAAAATAGGAATATTAAGTATGCAGAGTATTAACTAAAGAACTTCCCAAGTAATAAAAATAATAAATAAAAAATGAAAGACATTTGACTTTTGTTTAAATATATCTTTTATATTTTAAATATAATTGTGAATATGTTTAACAAATTTTAAAGCTTCTCAGAATTGTTTTTTTTATCATATTTTTATCTTAAACCTAAAGTTACGGTTATCACAGATGATTAGGTATCACAGCATCGCAGTTGTCAAATATTACAGTTCATTTTCATTGATAAGTGGTTTCAGTAATCTACCAAGGACGCCATACTGGTGTTGAGGGAGCTGGTGATGCGGCTGGTGAAATATCCTCATCACTGTGATAACCGGATGATGCAGGAGACATGGGTGCTGAGCAGATTTCTTCACTTTGAACTGGAGTGGGTAGCTCTGATAAACGGTTGTATTCCGAACCCAAGTGAATCATAACAGCTTTGCCCAATTGGAAATTCATGCCAGGAGTAGCAGCCATAACTCGGGAAACTTCATTGACAGCATTCATATAGCCGTGACGGAATGAGTCCATGGGTACAATGGGAGTAGCAGGAACTTTTGGTTTGCGTACTTGAGTCTTGATGAATTTGACTGCAGTTTCCAACATTTCAGCTTTATCCATATGCAAAATGCTATCATTGCCTTGGAATTCAGCAACCAATTCTTTGAGGGTATCCAAACTCTTGTTAATGCGGGCACGTCGTTCACGTTCCAATTGAGGTTTCTTGACCTTGAGGTAATGTTGAGTCTTGGAGACAAATTCCATTTGAGGTGCCATTTTTGTGTGTGGTGTTAGTTTGAGATGTGTTTCTCTTGGAAGTTGTAATGAGAATGATGTCTAACTTTTGGCTCGATCCACCTTTTATACCCAGACAAGGTGATTGGAATTTTTCTTCTGCACTCATGCATAGTGCAAACAACCCCTAAATTTAGTGTAGCTGGTTGTTTGGGAAATTCTAGTTGACAGCCTGTGTTTCCAAATCGTGGGAACGTTGAGCAGATGAATGTTAGTACGTGTAGAGAGTGTGTAATGTCTAAGGTCGATGATTATAAGAATTTTGTTGTTATAATTCCTTCATATCCTTTAAGAGAGTGTAGGACAATGCAACTGTTACTGTCTGCTGAGTGTGGGAATTTTGTGAAATGTTTGTGTTTTGGAATGTGGAGTCCTTAATTTATTTTTTATTATCGTTATATCTCTAACAATTGATCTTAACAATTTTTTAGGACCCTTTTATTGTGGTAGGTGGTGCTATTCATTAAAAAAGAACTGAACATGAAATCATTGAAAGTTTAATGGCATTTTTAGGATATTTTACCAGTTCCACGAGCTAGGAGTGTGCCCAGCAGACCTCCACCTCGTGGCTTTAAATATACGTTCTCATTAGATGAATATTTTTGTTGACAATTAAGCTTAATGATCGAAGTTACAATGAAAAGTTGTTGGTAATGCGGCTCATCTGTAATTTTGAACCGTGGATTTTTAACATAGCCCCTCGCATATTAGAAGTAGTAGTAGTTTAGAAGAAGTTCTGAAAATCTCAGAAACAAACCTTTATATCTACTGAGAGGAAATAGTCAAAATAATGTGATGTCCACATTGTACAGGTTCATGTAATCGAAACATTAAGGTCGAAGGATGGAAAATGTATAGTCGGCAAAGGAAAAAATTTTGGAAAATTTAACGAAGGGAATCTTAAAATGTTTGTCAAAAATTGGAAAATAAAAGATATGCTAATTTTTAATGTAATGATGCCGAAGACTAGATTAGGGGGAGAACTCCGAATATTGATCGCTGATTTCAAATTAATTTTGTACACAAAATATATTCCATTATGTGGAAACTTATTCATCTAATAAGGCCCAGATTTGGAAAAAAAACCGTGTCAAGGAGATACCTTAAATTTGTCCCAGATAAATGGGAATGTTGAAAATATTCTTTCGCTATCAAAGAAAGAACGAATGGAAACTGAATAATTGAAAATATCTTTTATGAGTTTTCAAGAGATATCAAATGTTGGAAAAACTTCTGGAAATTTTACCAGCTGAAGCTTGCTAACCATCACAGGAAAATGAAGATCACGTGAACGAAAGAAATTCTTCCTTCGGTTAGCAATTGAAAAATTAGGCGATTACTTGAAGGTAGTAGGAAAAATTTTTGAAATTTGAAGGCTTTGCATATTCTCGTGCCAAAGTTTGTACTGTAAAATTAAACTTAAATGTATGATAAAAATACAGCAGGTTGTGCAGTTATCTTAAAAAGTGCAGCTATCTGCAATCTGAATCGCACAATAAAAGTTCTTCTGCGTTAAAGTTGGATCGGCGGAAGATATTTTTTTTAAATTCCAACACAATTATTCCCAATATGTGTGCTTGTTATTCTTATTGCTTACGATCTAAGGACCATTATTTGTATTTTCTTCCTCCTCTTTGAATTAATGGATTACACACATCATTGTAATTTTACTCGATTAGTTCCCCGTTTTTTGAATTCCATTTCCCATGGAAGGTTATTTGGGTTTTTGTATGCCGCCAAGTGTCTTTTGGTCGACATCGGTTTCGTGATCCCTGGGTATTCAATTCAAGTATCATTCTAATCAAATTTTTTCCTTTCCCTGCATTTTATCTGGTTTTGTATGGATTTCTGGTTCGATAGGTTCCACAATATTCTGCACATGATCCTGGAGCATTTGTTTATTAATTCCTGTAACTTTTGCGTAATGGTATTAGACACAATCAAGGTTTCACTGCCGTATAACAGAATCGATTTTATACATCTTTGAATATTGTATGCTTGATTTTCTTGTATATATATATGTATGTGAACTTAATCAACACCTTGCAGTCTTCCGAATGCTACCCTCGCTATGCCCCGGACCCAATCCCATTGTTAAAGAAAAAAAAAACAACTTTTTTTAATTTCTTTTAAAAATATTTCTTGTTTTATATTTTAAAAATATTATTTTTTTCTTAAGAACTATTAAAGCTTTTGTTGTTTTTTGTTTCTTACAAAATACAGTACTTAAAACTAAATAATTGGTTATCACAGTGAAAATGTCTATATATCGCAGTCTTCTAATGGGTGGTTAAAGCTTATTTAAAGGAAGCCAAACTGGAGTTTACCAAGGACGCCAAACTGGAGTAGCAACTGGACTTTGAACAGCCGAAGATGTTGTTTCATCATCACTGTGATAACCCGATGAAGCTGGTGACATGGGTGCAGAACACGACTGCTCTCCATCCTCCTCTTTCTGTTGTCCAATACTTGAGATTTGCAGCAAACGATTATATTCACTACCCAAATGGACCATAACAGCTTTGCCGATGTGTACATCCATGCCGGCAGTGGCAGCCATAACTCGGGACACCTCATTGACAGCATTCATATAACCATGACGGAATGAATTCATTGGCACCATGTTGCTGAAGGCGGTTGGTACATTCGGTTTCTTTACTTGCCGCTTCATGAAAGCCACAGCCGATTCAAGCATTTCAGCCTTATCCATACGCATTATTGAATCATCACCTTCGAATTCGGCTACCAATTCTTTGAGAGTATCCAAACACTTGTTAATGCGTGCTCGTCGCTGACGTTCTAACAAAGGTTTCTTTACTTTGAGGTAATGTTGGGTCTTTGAAACGTATTCCATTTGTGGAGCCATTTTTGGATGTTGGGGAGTTGTTTCTTGTTTGTTGGTTACAATGAGAATGATAACTGATTGCAGTAAATGCCGGTTATTTATACTCTGCTCACTCTGGCCAGTTGGAAAATCTGAGCTGCTCAGTTGGATTTGTTGTACAGAGTGAGCGTAACGTGTAGAATAAAATACACCAATGTGCGACCATTGAGTATTGTGAGTGCACGGACTGTAAATTGTATGAGAGTAACATAGATCGTATCGTTAGAATGTTTAGGGTTTTGATTTGTGGACTGAACATATTTACTATGCGGTGTCATAGTTTTAAACTCATAGCCACTTCGTTGACAAAAGGACCATTTTCAGAATCCCTTAGAAAGTGTATTTGCACATTTAAAGCTTTTACTATAAAATTAAGCTGACATGTATCATAAAAAATGCACAAGTTTGTGCAGTTATCTTAAAAAGTGCAGCTATCTGTAATATAATTTTTTAAATTCACGATTTTTTCCATGTTCGATTGTTATTCTTATTGCTTGCGATCGAAATACCATTATTTGTATTTTCGTTAATCTTTGTTTCTTTATCTTCCTTTAGAAGCTTACGACTTCCGAAAAACATCCCAATCGTAGTCGATAGAAGAATAAGAGTTCTTTTGTGTTGAAGGTGGGTCGGAGGAAGATATTTTTAAATACCAACACGATTATTCCAAACATTTGTGGTCGAAGGACCATTATTTGTATTTCCTTTAATCATTTTTCAAGTTATTCCAATCTTACCCGATTAGTTCCGTCGTATTTGCATCTTTCCATTTGTATTAGTTCTTGGCTATTGTTCGTCGCCAGGCGTATCTTGGTCATTCTCGATTTCGTGAGCATTGGGGAATCCATCCAAGCGTCATTCTGCAATGTTTTGATATTTCATAGTATTTTGATATTTCATAGTCTTTTAATGGAATTAAGTTATTTTTAATGTTAAAACGTTTTTTTTATGTAGAAGGACCTGTGCCAATAGAGAAAATAGCAAAAATATATTTTCCCATTATGAGAAGTATATATAATACCGTCAAAAATATATAAATACCGTAAAAAAAAATGATAAGACATTGTAAAAGTCTCATGGGGTCACACGACAACCTTTCAAATGACATCGAAGGACCAATTACAAAAATTACTTGACTATACTTAGAATTTCAATTTGATATATGAATTTTGTAGTCTCAAGCTATAGACTGAAACCGGATAAAATTTACCCAATAAATTTTTTTTTTTTTTCAAAATATGCGATTGAAGGATATATTTCCACAATTTGTGCTCGAAGGACCAAAATGTTATATGCACATTCAGTATTCTAGTAGCCAGGTATAATCCCAGTTTTCTGGTTTATTTGTAGGGAAAATATGAGATATTCTCACTAAGTGACAAGGCAGAGGATACTATAATTTCGATGATATGTTGAAAACCAATATTTAATTTGAAATTTGCCTTAGTCTGTAGGACGAAGGACCAATTTCACGAATGCCAAAGCTTTACTACGATGGTATGCTAATTTTTTAGCATATAGCGAAAATGGATCTAATTAACTTTTATAACTGAAACTTTTTTATTAAAATGGTGGGTCGAAGGACCAATTCATTTAGTGTAATATTAGGTCGATGGACCAATTTCATAGATGTCATTGCAAAACTTTATTACGGTCGTTAGCGATCTAATTATTTTGATAACAGGCTTTTTTCACTGTTTAAAAGATTGATCAAGGGACTCCTTTTTATTTAAAAAGGGATCTAATTAAATTTTTAACTGTAATCTTACTGTTAAAATGTTTGGTCGAAGGACCTATTTTTTCATTCAACTTGTGGTCGAAGGACCAATTGGTATTAGAACGTATATCTTCTTTAATTGATATTGACTGGATGGGATTAATGATATCTATACTGATTTTAAGTTTTAGGTATTATTGGAACTCCAGAACATGCCTTTATACGGGGTCGAAGGACCAAAAAATTAAAATTAATTGGAATCATGAACATAAAGGTTATTACGGCCTGAAATCCCGTGAACTTGGGTTTGATATTAAAAGCCACAAGATTATTTGTTTAAACTATATATTATAGGATTCAAGGACATTTCGGCAAAAGCTACATTAAACAGTTTGGAGTATATACAAAAAAAGAAAAATTTCGGGGAAAATTTGTTCTGAAGGAATAGGGATACCACTTGCCTTTTCTAAATCAGGAATGCCATCTCTGATTTGGTTATTAAAACATGCACATTTCGTATATTCTTACGTTTTTGATTTCTTTCCCCTGTACGAAATCTATACGACCTACTGTACTTTACCCTGCGCATAAAGCCGGCCTATACTACATAGAGCGTGCTACTGCAAATGCATGAGAACGGCAAAGAAACGCATTCATTGAGAAAGAGAGAGCGAGCGTGTTTGGAATGAACAAATAGCGTGTAGCCATAAATGAGAGCGTGTGAGAGTCATGCGACCAAGAGTGCATGGCGTGCGTGCAGCACAGAAGAGTACGTGTTTAGAATGCGATTCTTATTTGATTGAGGGCTGATCGTGAGAAAACCATGCGTTCGTTGGCTCTTTTATGAGAAAGAGTTGAAAAGACTTAAAACACAAACACACACCGCTGGGGGCCTAAAATAATAATTGACCGGTTCTAAAAACAAGAAAACTTGCTACTAATCGTTGTGATGTTGCCACATCCGGGAGAGCATGGGGCCGGCCGACAGTGTTGTGAATGAGCGAGTGAGTGAATGAAGAACTTGTTGGATGCGTAACAGCAGTAGGCAAGCTTTGTGTGGAGGGCCATATGTGGTAAGCGGTAACACCATCTCATCGTCATGATCATTGTGGCCACTAAAATGAATGAGTGGTTGCTTGGCTTACTTGCTCCCCCTCCATGGCCTTAGAGCAGTGTGCTAGTAGCCCATGACAAGTTGTGCATGTCAAGCTCGTGGCTTATAAGTTCCACCACCATCGTCATCTTCATCATCATTATCCTCCATACATATTGCCACTGATGTTATTTCTTATTCTCCCCATGCCATACCCCAACAGCAAAACAGCAGCATACATGTTGTGTACATCATGCAAGCCAGCAGCTCCCAACTTTATGGCTCTTATTAGAGATAAGCACACACACAGACATTACACACTCCACATTTTCATATTTATGCTGATGTGCGGTGATGTATGAAGAAGCAGGAAAAAATAAAGGCAGGTGTTCTCATCGCGTGGGAAACGTACGACAAAATTGTTTCTCACGTTTCTGAAAGCCAGCCATCAACATCGTCGTCATCATCATCATCAGTCCAAGTAGAATTCGGACAGACCAAGTTGAATTACTTTCGTTATGGTTGGTTGTCGTAGGCTTGGCTAGATGGATGGTTCGCTTGCTTGCTGGTTGTAATAGACTGATTATGAGGCATATTTATGTCTGTCCAGCCTCCATAGCTCTCTCGGCTAATACTACTCTTTATCATTTCCTTGTAGATATTTTGACAAGATCCTTATTTTTTGTTAGGCCATAAGGATAAGAGAATTCAATACCTTTACAATGGAACTACAACTAATACTACTTCTCAGACTGTGGGAAAAATCTTTTTCCCATCACCAAGAAATTTGTTCTATGGATCCTTCTCTATTATTTTATCTCCCAGAAAGGATCATTTATATGCCCTTTTTCCTTTAAGAAAATTGATCTAACAATGATTTTTAATAGTTATTGTCAGTCCGTCCGTCTGTCTGTCCGCCCATATATCTCGGAGTCTGTGTTGTGCAAGGATCAGACGTAAAAACCTGCTACCTGCTCACAGACAATCGTCATCATCGCCATCCTTTGCATTTGTTGTTGTCCTCGAAAAACATTCCCACACTTTACAATTTCCTTTGATTTTTCTTATCCTGTTTTGCTCGCTCTCTCTCAGTGTTTACAAGACCCACATGAAGAGATGCTGGGCTATATAAGGCCTGGCTCTCTCGAAAAACAGCATCATTTCGATTTAGTCTTCCTTAGAAAAAACATCTCCTGTTACGAGTATTTTTTTCTTTTTCCAAAAAAGAAAAGAAAACGTACAGTTCCTGATTCAAATTAACACAAAACAATAAAAAAACAACAAAAAATGGCTCCTCAAACAGAATTCGTTTCGAAAACCCAACATTACCTCAAAGTCAAGAAACCTTTATTGGAACGCCAAAGACGTGCCCGCATGAACAAGTGTTTGGATGCTCTCAAAGAATTGGTAGCCGAATTCCAGGGCAACGATGCCATTTTGCGTATGGACAAAGCTGAAATGTTGGAATCCGCATTGGAATTCATGAAGACTCAGGTGAAACCACAAGAACAGCAGCAAACCACAAGTCTACAATTACCCGCCATGGTGCCAATGGACAGTTTCCGTAACGGTTACATGAATGCTGTCAATGAAGTTTCTCGTGTTATGGCCGGCACTCCTGGCATCAATGTCAACATCGGTAAGGCCGTTATGACCCATTTGGGTTCCGAATTCAATCGTTTGCTGCAACAGACCACAGTACCAGTTGTCAGGGATGAAGTGGCCGAAGCCAACAAAGTTAACATTAAAGCTCCCATGAGTCCAGCCTCATCGGGCTACTGCAGTGACAATGAAGAACAACAATCGTCACAAGGATCACCAAACAGTACCATCTCCAGCAGCAGCTCCTCCATGTGGCGTCCTTGGTAAACAAACAGCAGCAACATGATATCTAGAATTTAGTTTAAATTGCAACTCAGCTTTAAAATGCACCATTATAGTGTCTTCCCCACCCCTTTGACCCCTTGCATGTGAACCATTAACGTAATTCCCTGTTAGGAGTTTTTTTCTCTCTGTGATAGAAACAAGAAACAAAACCACACTTGGCTTTATTAGGATTTTTAGGAACATTAATATTAAGAACCAACTATATTTTTTTAATTGTAACTAAGAAACAAATTGTGAACAATTATTGTATAATTTATAGGAATATTGTAAACCCCCCAAAAGCTTTAACAAATTGTATTTTTTTAGGTTATAGATAGCAACATTTTATTATTAAGTATTTTAATTTTAAGGAAAAAACATATTTTGAAAATATAAAATCTTATTCTAAAACATAAAACAATTGCGACTTTTTTACTTTTCAAAATTACTCTCAGCATCATTGGAATTTATTCTCTTTACATTCCCGATGCACTTGCTGCATCGCATCATACAAATTATTTGGGGTGATTGACTGTACTTGTTCTGATGTTGGCTTCTCTTTGGTGTTTTTTGGGGTGACTGTAATGACACTGCATGAAATCTCAGCTACCTGCTTCTTCGGTTCTGGGATCTGTACAGATTTTTAGAGGTTAGTATAAACATGAACACTTGTTGTTTTCTCTGGTCACTTGGGACAAGCTAGGTACAGGTTCACAGAAAAATCTGGAAATGATTTTCGTGTTCACAAATGCCAACACGCAACGATCGTTTTTCAAATTTAGGGGATGATTTGACATCAAAGAAATTAATACAAACTGATCAATGAGAATACACTATCGATGCCTATATTGAGAATATGATCTGTAGACCAATGTTTATTGAAAATAGGAAAACGATACTAGAATTCCATATTAATTTTTTAACTTCCACGTTTTGGAAGTTAAAAAATCAGAGCTCTAATAGATCTTGAGAATATATTTATCGTATAGACCTTATTGTAAAAAATCCACGATTGATAGATTGGACTAATATTAAAAATGGTCTAAGCCATACCCTGGAAAAAATATTTTTATATTCATAGTAAATTTTTGTAAGAAGATTTGGCATGGGTGTTGATAGTTTTTGGTAGGAAGATTTTCTACCCAATGATGAAGGTTATAAAAATTCAAGCTCTCATAGAGAGACCTTGCGCAAATTTGTCGTATGGTGGCAAGTTTTCTCATTGATTAAGTATTCCGTGTGAGAGTAGAAGATAATATGTCTGAACATCGAACGGTCAAAGCAGGGGTGCCACAGGGATCACTACTGGGACCGGTTCTATACAACCTGCCGCCAGAAAGAGGACTGCTATTAAAGTACGCTGATGATGTGTTACTTACTCTACGAGGCCGTTTTGGAAGCACTGTGGAAAGAAGACTGAATGTGTACATGGAAACACTTTACAACTACTTCAACAAATGGATACTTAATGTCAATGTTGGAAAATGTGTATCTGTGGTTTTCAAGGGCAAACCCAAGTCCACTGCGAAGAGCTTCCAACTATAAAGGTTGAAATTAATTAATCGGAGTGTCAGACAGGATGAAATACCTTGCAATCATCCTGCACGAGTTTTTCGACTTCTGTCACCATGTGGATTATGTGCTTTCAAAGGCCAAACATATGAACTTTGCCTATCAGAGACTCTTCCGAATGTGAGAAGGGCTTTCATCGGAGGTAAAGTTGCTAATATACAATATTAATATTCGTCCCATCATCACCATCCTTTGCCAAATGGGCAGACATATCGTCAGCCCAAATGGAAAGGATTAGAATGTGGGAGAGAAATATATTGGCATCATGCCTAGGAATGAGATCAGCACTGGATAGCAATGACATATATAGACGTCCGTCCAATAGGAACATCTACAATGCAATAGACTTCAACCGAATCTATGTCTGCATGATGAAATATGCCCTCAACTTCCTAGAAAGGAGTCAGCTTGTGTAAAATGGAATAGTGGAGCGATACCTAGTGTTCAACGAGGAACTCCACTACATACTTAGAAGGAAACACCTTACCCCTGCAGCTTTGATGAAGCTGCGAGACGGAGGAATCCTTTACGATGAAGATGAAAAAATATTCTTCAAAAAATCCTCGCTTTGGTGGACCTTTGAAAAAATATTCTTTAAAAAATCATCGCCTTGGCGCAACTTGGAAAAATATTATTCAAAAAAGCTAAGCCTTGCAGGACCCTTGTAAACATATTCTTTCAAAAAATCCTCGCCTTGCTGGACCTTGGAAAAATATTCCTTAAAAAATCCTCGCCTTGCTGGACCTTGGAAAAATATTCTTTACAAAATCTACGCCTTGGTAGACGTTGGAAAAAATATCCTTTGCAAAATCTACGCCTTGGTAGACGTTGGAAAAAATATTCTTTAAAAAATCCACGCCAATACAAATATGGTATTCTGATTGTTGCAGATCTTTAAACACTCCATTATTGTTTCGTAATTAATAACCCTCACTGAAAATTTATAAATAAATCAGGATGTAAAAGTAACGGCTATTTTGAGAGGGATTAAAAAAATATTCTGAAATTTAATTTATGTTAATGTTTTGAATATTTTCAACCCCTACGAAGTAGCCGTTACTTTTTTTCCAAAATCGAAAACTAAAAATTTTTGATGCAATTCGTTACAGTGCACAAGTGTCCAACCACCATTTAGCTACTCCGGCCATTACCGCTATACAAACCTAATTTCCTTTCAAATCCTTGGCTATTCACTTGTTTTTCGTAAATTCTACTTCATTATTAGTATTATTCAAGCGTAACTAACATTATGGACACGACGGGATATGAACGAGTTTTTTCTCTGGTTTTTAACAAAGTGATGGCATTTATTGCACCTCTCCCAGGATGGACGCTAACAACAACAACGAGGACAAAAGTAAATGCAAGTGTGCAACAAAATTCCCTTTCCCTGGATGCACATGATTTGACATAATATTGACAAGGAATCTAGTCTCTGCCTCAGAGTTGGTAGGGGTGGTTTGCACGTGTTCAACTTTGGAAAAATGTAAATAGGGACAGACAGATACGATTGTCCTGATAACGGCAAAAAAGGCTATTGACCAAGGAGGTAGGGGTTGTTTCTCTACTTTCCATTCTTATTGTATGGAGAATGGATTGAAAGGGCGGTGGTGGTGGTGCTGGACGAGGCATTGTTTGATTTAGCACATCCACAAAAAAATAAAGAATACTGGGACGAAATGGTGGCTCTTTTGTTGTGCACGTGTGATTCGATCGTTCGATCCTATCCTTTTTTGTGAGGATGAACAACAAAAAAGAAAACAAACGAGACAAGTGAAACAAAAGCCGAATTCATAATGCCAGTTTTATTATATTGGAATTTGGTTTCCATTGGAATTTATTTTATTATTTCTTTTTGGTTTAAAATTTGTTGTTGTTCGGATGGTGGTGGTGTCCCTCGTTGGGTAGTAGAGCACAAGTGTTAAATGAAATTGTTTATTTTGGGTTGTCATTTCAGTTTTTTGTTTTTTTCTCGATCAGGGTTCATAAAATACATTTAGCCCTAGATTTGTTGTGATTTCGTTAAGGATTTCGTGGAAAAAATAAATACAAATCACGTGTTTGTCAGTTATGAGGTTCAGTTCGGCTCGTTCGTGGTGTTTCCATGATGGTATTAAATGACAATGCCACCACTAAGATAAATTAAATTCCCAAATGAGGGACAGACAATAGCACCGATCCCCCCTAACGAACAACGGATTGTGGGCTATCGTATTGAAACAAGTGCATGTGATGTTCGGGAACGGGCCACTGAAACGTGCCTGGCATGGTATGTAGGTGCTGTCACACTTGTTTTACTTGCTTTTTCGGATTGGTTTGGAAAATATGTCACGCCTGAACCCCCTCAAAGATTGTATTCTGTTACAAGAAAAAGGGGAGATGTCGTCGAATGTTTACCCAAAAAAGAACGTTTGGGCGTTTTCGCCTTAAGACCCTCCGTCCGATGTGTTGATAAAATAACACAAAGATCGATCGTTTGATAAACAAAACATAAATACTTTCTAATGAATGGATTTATTTGTGTGTCCCATACATTTGTTCATATCTTCTCACTTTAACTCCAGTGGGGGATATTATTTTATGGTGGGTATATTAACCCATTGAGAGGAGAAAAAATTTCGAAATATTTCAAAACTAGTTGGTACGCCATAGGTTTAAGACTTTCTACATGGGACAGCTTTTGGTTGAAGAGCTAAGGTTAAATTCTCTAGATCAGCTAGGTTGTCTATACTGTTTTGATCTTCAGTTCGTACTAGTTGTACTAAATTTAGTACAATAAGACACTTTTTACACTAATGGTACTAACGACATATTTTAACAGCTACCTATATAAGGTTCAACTTTAAAGCTGTATTCGCCCATTCAATTTTAGTACTTTAAGCTCAACATTTAGAAACGCTTCATCAAATTTCAGAATTGTATATCAATTAGTTCGACCGATTCAGGTAGTACAATATTTATTACCGTTAAATATTAATATAAATTCAATTGAAATAATATTTCCCAATTTCAGAATTCCATTGCTATTGCTTCACCATAATATAATTGTACCAAATTTAGTACAAATTTTCAAAACTTCCTACATATCTGCATTATAAACCCCAACAGTGATCCTAACTTCAAATTTCAAGATTCCACATCTATCGATTAACCCAAATTTGCATATGGTGCCTTTTAGTACTCATTAGTAGAAATTTCCAAAACTTCAACAATGATCCTTACTCCAAATTTCAGGGTCCCCCATATCGCTACGCCAGCTCCATTTGTTTCGTCTAAATTCAAATTGTATCAAATTTAGTAATGTTTAGTACTTTTCGTATACACGAGCACACGTTTCCAATACCACCTCTTTATATCGACATGCTACGAAATTTAGTACATTTTAGTACTTTTGGGATACTTATAGTTCGAATTTTCAAAAAAAAATTTCA